CTAGCCTAAATCGACCAACGCCTCCCCTCTCGGTTCTACACGTTGATTAACTAGGTTAGAATGGTGATCAATCAACTAACCCTATAATTCACACAACTCGCATAGATTGAAATAAACATATTCCACATAATTCAAACAAGAATCAAAATCTCTAACCCTAGGTCAATGGATTACCTCATGCTTAGATTCAATCTAATGTTAACCGGAATTAAGAGCATAACACCAATCAACAATAATAAAATAGATATGAAAAGCTTACAACCGGATTAAGACTTGAAAGATTTCAATCCAAATGTCTTTATGTCCAACAATCCAAGCATGAGAAAATAAAAAGAAAAAGCGGAGAAAATTATCCTAACAATATTGAGTTTTTGGAGATAAAACTTGAAAGGAACGATATCGGGGGTTGTTCCTTAGGTCTGGAGGTTCAATTTGATATATAGTGCGCGAAAAACGGAGCTAAAACGAGTAAAAACGAGCAAAAATAAAAACAGGGGTCGACAGGGACGCAACTCGCGAGTCGCGTGTTGGACGGGTCGCTGGGCTGCTGGAGGCTCTGTTAAAGTCGCGAGTCGCGACTTTTTCTCTCGCGAGTCGCGACTAAACTCGCGACTCGCGAGATTCTGGGCTGCACTGCACCATTTTGCGTTTTTGCCTCGTTTGAGCTCGTCCGAACTCGGAATTGAGTTCTGTTTTTTTCCTATGCGTCGCTAACGAACCCCTCTATCCACTTATGCTCTCGAAACCAACTTTTCCTAAAATTTCGCCCGATTCTTTCGATCTACACACCAAAAACGACAAAACACAAAAGAAAAGCGGAAAAACAAACAAAAAAACACCTAATGACTCAAAATGAAGGAAAACACATAATAAAACAAGAAACGGACTAAAAACTAAAGAAACAACCTAAAACGGAGGGAAACGAAAGATAAAATAAACACGAAAAACACAACAAAAATGGGACAAACAACTCCCCCACACTTAAACCTTTGTTCGTCCCGAACAAAAAGAAAAGAAAAGAAAAGAAAGGACACAAAACTAAAAATCCGAGCATGGACAACAGTCATTAACAAGATAAGCTTCAAAATGTTCAACTTCAACAACAAGCATTCAAATGGCATATACGAGCACCACACAACTACATGCCTGATCACTATACTTCGACATGGCGTTCTCTCAGTATGGGAATATATATGCGTGCCTCACTCGAATTCTTATACAAATAAAGATAGGTGCACTCAAATTGGTCGATAACAAGTTCAATCATATGCTTGCCCATAGTCTAACTTCTACTCTAAATCAATCAAAATCAAAACTAGTGCATCAAAAGGTCTTTCCAGGTTGTAACGTAGGCTCTTTGGATAGGTAGGATAAATATAGGCTAAGTGGCTCGAATCTATATCTATATAAATATAAAAAGGTTTGACATTTACCTAAAATAGAAGTAGAAATCCCGCTTAAAATTTTCAAATTTACTAAATTAAGTAATTATTTTCGAAAATCCCGCTCAAACATATTTTGAAATTTTCATCCAAAAATATAAATTCTAATATTATAAAAAAACAGATTTATTTGGTATATCGAATCAAATCTTAAATGGACAGATCAAAATTTGTTTTGGCATATCAAATAAATTTTTTAGTATATCAAATCACATTTGAATGGATGTGGAAATGGAAACGTAAATGGACCGAACCAAATCAGACTAATTCTTGCCATCTCTCCCAAAATGACGGGTGAATCAAATCCCAATCAAAATAATCCAAACCAACAATTAGGGTTCCACGGAGATGGGCACGGCGGAACACTATCGAGTCTTCTCCATGCTCGATGAACAGCGACGACAACATCAATGGAGAGGAGCTCAGTGATTTGCTAGAGAATTTCGAGGTGTGCGTGCCGAAGCAGAAGATTGACACTGACGGGGACGCCCAGGTGGATGCCGATGAGTTCGGCGCCCTGTATGCGGTGGTGATGGAAGACGGCGGATCCGACAAGGGGGACGACGGTAAAGAGGACGTGCGGGAGACGTTTAGGATTTTCTTTTGGGACGGGGCGAGTTTATCACGGCGGATGAGCTGATTTCTTGACAACTGCGTTGAGGCTGAAGTAGGTTAAGATGCCAGAGGAGTACCGGATTATGATCGTCAGGGTCTACTTAGGGGGGCGATGGTAGGGTCAACTTGGATGACAGATGATGAAATGCGCCGGGTTCTTCAAGGTAAATTTATTGGTTTTTTTAATAGTTTTTTTGCTTTGATGTGCAAATTGCAATTGGCAATTGGTTGGTGTAGTTGATGGATTTTTATTCTTGCCTCCATTTTTAGTTGGGTTGAAAAATAATTTATGTTTTTGATCTGCAGACTGCTGCCGGAGGGGTTTATGGAGAGGACTAAGAGCAGTTGTTACGTGATAAAGTCATTGACCTCATAGTGGTGCTGGAACACGGAACGGTGGCCGGATGGGTGGCCCACTGCGGCCGGAGTTCCATCCTGGAGGCTGTGACGTGTGGGATGTTCGGTTGTATCATTGTATCCTAGGTAAAAAAATCATTTTTTTATCTTCATACGCCCTAATTTTACGCATTTCAACTGTGCGTGTATC